CGAGACGTGACCAAGTACAGCACTCAACTGTAGCCGGCGGGTACAGCACGTTACAGGAGGGAGAAGTTATGTTGATTTTTCTTTTTTTATGTATTATTGATAATAATTATGTCCTTGGTGGTGGCTGACACCTTAATGTACTCGTACGTGTGAGGAAATAGGTTACGTTACGTTACGTTACGTTACGTTACCAAGTTGGTTTACTTTAATAAGTTAGGTTACCTTAATAAGTTAGGTTAGGTTCGGTTGGGAAGTTAGGGCTGTTCTAAATTCTACGTAAGGGGGAAAAATGAAGACAAGAACTTTTAAGAATGTGGACCAGCCTGGGAGGGTCGCCAGAGAATATCACTTTCACCCTCTGTCTCGCTGACAAATTATGACACAGTTTACTTATCGTCGACACAAGCATCCTGCCGTGACATAACTCAGTGAAGATATCTTCCTCAGAGAGAGAGAGAGAGAGAGAGAGAGAGAGAGAGAGAGAGAGAGAGAGAGAGAGGGAGAGAGAGAGAGAGAGAGAGAGAGAGAGGAGGAGAGAGAGAGAGAGAGAGAGAGAGAGAGAGAGAGAGAGAGAGAGAGAGAGAGAGAGAGAGAGAGGCCCATTTCAAGCTGTCTGTTTTCTAAAGCCTGCAGAATAACAATCCATCTCGCCACCACCTCCACTTCCATCGCTACCACCACTATCATCACCATTTCCACGACCACCACCACCACCACCACCACCATCAGTACTACCAAACCTACTACCATTACCAGCACTGCTACCGTTATTACCACTACCACTGTTATCACCAACACCACCACCACCTTTCACTGTACAGTATTGTGCGTGAAGATCTTAAATTATTCTCTGCCCTTCTAAAGAATCTTTTGTTACAGCCGTTTGGTTTTTTCTTTACTCTAACAAAACCTCGGCTGGAGAGATTCCTTTGAGATGTAAATGAACATCTTTGTATACCTTAAACTTCATAACGGAGCCATATGCATGCTGGGACTGGTACCACAACCTTTCCTTTCCTGCGACACTTTGTACGGGTAAATAACTATGATATAGTTACCCCAATGGTCCTGCTTTTTTGTTTTTGTTGTTTTTTTAGGTGTAAATAAACGTCTTTGTGCCGTTACAACTCTGAAAACTGTAACATTTCTGTGTTAGAGGTCGGCATCACAACCCAGGAGTGGCTTCACCTGCGATAGTTTGTGGGGGAAATTCAGAGGTACAGTATATAGTTCCCTCTACGACCATATCTTGTAGACTACAGAAATGTGACTACTGTGTGCTGTACTTGATATACACTAATCATCCCTTTAATGATGAATGTTGATGTATTTAGAGGTGTACAGTACACACAAGTAAGGGATTTCCTCTATATTGCAGTAGTCACTATAGCCGGGTTGTGCTGTGGAGGGTGGCCACCATATGTCAACAAGGCTGTCTCTCTCGGCCAGGCCAGACCTCCGGGGGGATTACCTTTCTTCATATTCTAAATGGCTTTAAATTCCCCAAGTTGAGAGTGAGAAATATTATTGTGTGTGTATGAGGAGAGAGAGAGAGAGAGAGAGAGAGAGAGAGAGAGAGAGAGAGAGAGAGAGCAGGTCTGTCAACATGGTAGACTAGTGCATGGTGCTCAGGCAAAGGTGCAACATCACTCTGAAACATGCAAGAAAGGTGTGTTGCATGCAGTGACGAAGACTTTTTATTATTATTTAAGTGGACACCAACTAATCCCAGGTATTGCCTCATAAACACACTCACAACGCACTCTCAACACAATAACTCTCACTCTCAGTCTGGGGAATTTTGTGTAAAATGATTCTGCAGTGTGTGTGTGTGTGTGTGTGTGTCATCCATCATTCACTATCCACCATAACCTCCACTATCCACCTCCCCTATCCACCACCACCACCCACGATCCACCATCCACCTGCCCCATCCACCATCAAGGGGCCATTTACTCCTTTCATCTCATCGTCAACATCTTAAGTATGTCATTTTGTTCATTTACAAGAGTTAGGGAGAAGTTTGTAAGTAAATAAGTATTCCGTTGTATTAGGGTCGTGTAAGTGAGGTCAAATGTTAATAGTATTAGTGATGTTTTTAGCTAAATTTATATTAATTTATATATATATATATATATATATATATATATATATATATATATATATATATATATATATATATATATATATAGAGAGTTTCTGCAAGTCTTCACAGCTGCAATTCTCCTGATAATGAGTTCTTTTTTCACCGTCACACACACAAACACACACACACACACACACACACACCTCTCTGCACAGTATATATGAAATGCAAAAGCTTGTCCAGAAGGAATAGTGTCACGACTCCTGGTGTACACACACACACACACACACACACACACAAACACACACACACACACACAAAGAATCATATAACACAAAGATTTATTGAGTACACACACCCAACGGGCTCATGGCCAAATCAAAGTATATATACCTTGGCTGAATATAAAAATATTTATGCCTTGTCCAAATAAAAAACAAATATATACTTTGAGCAAATAAAAGTATATGTACCTTGACTAAATAAAAGTGTATATACCTTAAGTGAATGACAATATAAAAATATGTTGTAAAAAGTATATATATATGACACAGCTACAACAGATCATTGAGGTTAAGGAAAGTCTATATACTTAAAGTTGATGATGTTACTTGATGTGTGTTCCTTTACGTTACCTTATGTTAGCTGATGTGTCTTATACTTGGTGTGTTACTTGATGTTACTTGCTATGTTACTTTATGTTAATTGATTTGTGTTACTTTGTTATTTTTGTTACTTGATGGTATTAGATGTCTGTTACTTGATAGTTGATGCTGGTTTATGTTACTTGATGTGTATTACTTTAATATTAATGAATTTGTGTTACTTTGTTATTTATTGTGACTAATAGTTTTGTGTGTTACTTATGTGCTACTTGATGTTACTCGATAACTTTCATTTGATGTTAATTGACGACTGTTATGTGTGTTATTGTTACTTGGCTTGTGTTGTATGATGTGTGTTACTTGATGTTACTTGACGGGCATATCTCCATTAATTCCCATCCATTTCCATGTATTTTTCCCTTTCTGTATTTCCAAAAATTTCTCCGTAATAGTCAAATGAACACCGCATCTCTGTTAAAGTCAGTTGATGCGTTTCACCTTCCCGGCCCCGGTCACACGATTGCAAATTTCGCCAGCGACAACTTCCACATATAATGCCACACATTTCCAGGGACTCGAAAAGCACCTCAACTCTACACAGTATTCAGGAGGAGGACCGTTTTACTTCCTGGCCCGGGCATGCAATTGCAAATTTACAAATAAGGTGTAAATCTTGTAAACGCGAACGACAATTTCCAACGGCAATTCTATATGTATTTCTAAAGTAATTTCAGACGTTTCTATAAGTATTTATAAAGTATTTCCAGGTATTTCCAAAAAACCCAGAAAGCACCGCATCTCTGTGTAAAATTCACCTGAAACACAAGTCCTTCCTCCTGGCCGGGTCATGCAAGTGCAAATTTACTAAAACGGGAAGGAAAGCGTATGGAGCGCGCGTCGTGCACACAGAGTCTCTGCAAGACATTATTATGCTGATGTTACCCCTGGGACGACTTGTTATGCTGATGTGGCCGCCGGGAAAACACTGCTGGCTCTGTCTGTGTGTGTGTGTGTGTGGTGCAACACACACACACATACGAAAATCAGAAAGCTGAAAGCGAGAAGAGGAATTGATAAGTAGAAAACGAAAACTAAGATTAGATAAACATTCCCCTCCCACCGCCCGGCCTTACCCAATTTACACACAGGTAATCACAGGTAATCTTTGTTTCTTATATTTCTGTATTGAAAGCTTTTATCCATCAAGTGACCCACTCCCCGCTTCCACCAAATGTAGCCTATCACCTCTGTTCATTGTATATTTTCATCCTTCGGGCTGCCATGTTATCTTAATAAACCGTTAATTATTATTATTAATGCGTAGCTGAACCTGACCCACTACGCCGTTCCTTTATATGCTTACTGACACCGTTCTGTTCTAAAGTTCGTTCACATGCACCCTGGATTCGTTCACCCCTTCCCCTTATATATACACGTCTCCCACCCTTCCCCTCTCCCCCCTCCAATTCACAAGGTCCCCTCTCCTCTTCCCATGTCCCCCTCCTCCCTCTCACTTGTTCTCTCTCTTCCACCCATCGCCCAACACGTCCCTACTCGCTCGTTCACTGTTGGTCATTCAGGCCTGGGGAGGAGGGGGTGAGGGGGGTGAAGGGGGGCTGCCAGGTGGGTCTCTCACCTCCGCTGCCCACTCAAGGTTGATCAGTGAATGGGCAGGTGTGCCAACCTACCTACCCTGGGATACTGTACCTGTCCAGCCCTTACAGGTAGACGGGGCCGCCACTTCCACCCAACCTTACCTCTAATATTGACCTTATTAACTCTTAAATTAATATACCTTTGGGTGGGATATATTGGTATAATGATATATTTTGATATATTTAAGAAAGATTTTGCTATTACCTAAAGTTAAAGGTTTATGTGCTGAGTCATGCCTTCAGAAACTATTAAAGCCCTGTCATACTTTCCTTTGATATCTACCTAAATGGCCTAAATAATATATCCTTGGAATGATATAGTGACATATTTTGCTTACTTAATGTCTAAAAGGTTGTATTTCTTTAGCCTCCCCTCCCCCTTCAGGCACACATGGGTATACTTGCCCAACCTACACATACCCACACTCTGACACCCATTGACCTTTTCTTACTTATTTTTCCTGCCACTACCCATCTTACTCTCTCTAAAAATACCGCTGTTGTGAAACCTATCCATCAAGTACGTGTCTAAAAGGTTAAATCGTTTTACCCGTGATTTAAAAGACACTAGTACTTGTTTTTGTTGTGTTGGGATGAGGGTTGGCAGGCCTGGGTGATGACTTGGGCCTCTCTGCCTGCCGTACTAGTCCACAAACGTTGCGTCGTGAGGTGTGGGGCATCAGTCCACGTGTGGTTGTAGACGGAGTCGGACGCTACTGAAACGCTTCTCTTGAGTCTTCTCCAGCAGCGTATAAAATAATACTGTATATACCACCGTGAATCGTGCCTACTGAGTGGTATACCTGAACCATGGAGCTACAGCGAAGGTATGTTTGTCTCTTAGTTGTTATTAGTTTATGTACATACTGAACACATATTCCTAGACGTACATATACTCATGAACCGTATCACCTAAGAATTGTATAGCGTAATTTAGTTTTATGTGTGTGTGTGTGTGTGTGTGTGTGTGTGTGTGTGTGTGTGTGTGTGTGTGTCAGTTGGTATCGTTTAAGTGGTCTTTATACTATACTAAATGCATATATCTATACTTGCAAACTCTATCACCTATGTATTATACTATACCATGACTATATATCCTAATCTTGCCTAATCTAGTCTTAGTGCCGGTATATAACAAGGCCTTATAGCACTAGTGGTATATACTGTACGTGAGTTAGTAAGGTTTGGTTTATGACAGACGTGGTTTAGTTACTCGACACCATAAGGGTCTCATCACTTGACGTGCCCGAGTTGTGTTAAGAGTTAAGCTGTTCTCTTCCGAGGCCTCAGTGATGAAGGTGATAAGACTTTAACCCATTCCTATACAGGCCTTTAACACAGCCCTACACAGCCCTATAACCCATCCCTACACAGCCCTATAACACATCCCTACACAGCCCTATAACCCATCCCTCTTCAGGCCTTTAACACATCCCTACACAGCCCTATAACCCATCCCTACACAGCCCTATGACCCATCCCTACACAGCCCTATAACCCATCCCTATACAGGCCTTTAACACATCCCTACACAGCCCTATAAACCATCCCTACATAGCCCTATACCCCATCCCTATACAGGCCTTTAACACATCCCACGCAGCCCTATAACCCACCCCCACACAGCCCTATAACCCATCCCTACACACACCCTATAACCCATCCCTATACAGGCCTTTAACTACACAGCCCCTATAACCCACCCCATACAGCCCTATAACCCATCCCTAAACAGCCCTATAACCCATCCCTATACAGGCCTTTAACCCATCCTCACACAGCCCTATAACCCACCCCTACACAGCCCTATAACCCATCCCCACACAGCCCTATAACCCATCCCTATACAGGCCTTTAACACATCCCTACACAGCCCTATAACCCACCCCCACACAGCCCTATAACCCATCCCTACACAGCCCTATAACCCATCCCTATACAGGCCTTTAACCCATCCTACACAGCCCTATAATCCATCCCTATACAGGCCTTTAACACATCCCTACACAGCCCTATAATCCATCCCTATACAGAGGCCTTAGGAACCCCGGCTTACTTCACCTGAAGATTAAGCATTCTAATGCGAAGTGGGGGATGAGGTTAGGTTAGGTTAGGTTAGGTTAGGTTAGGTTAGGTTATGTTGAGTAAAGTTGTCTCCTAACTGGTGTTAAGTCTCAGTGTAAATCGTATCCAAATACTGAACCATGTCCTTGGCACCGTAAGAATCTGGAGAGCCTAACTCACAGATAGTCTGGAGCTGACAACTGCTGACGAGGCTCCTGTGTTATAGTCGATGGACAAAAAAAAAATTATGGAACCCACGCCATCTTGGATTCTTGAGAATGGCTAACCTTACGAACCTAACCTAACATAGCCTAACCTAACCTAACCTAACATAGCCAAGCCTAACCTAACCTAACCTAACATAGCCAAGCCTAACCTAACCTAACCTAACATAGCCAAGCCTAACCTAACCTAACCTAACATAGCCAAGCCTAACCTAACCTAACATAGCCAAGCCTAACCTAACCTAACATAGCCAAACCTAACCTCCCCCTCCACCCCCCATCTCACCAACAACATATTACCCACCCCATTCCTCTCCTCCCCCTCCCCCTACCCTCCCAAAACACGCCAAGGATTCCTAGATAATGACTAACTCACGTCCACCAGGCTGCCGGGAGCTGACTCTGGTGATACCAACCTGTAAGACCAGATGACATGTTGTGATCAAACCCATCATCGTAAACTGGCGTGATATCTGTGTTTAAAGTGGCGTGATATTTGTGTTTTAAGTGGCGTGATATCTGTGTTTAAACTGGCGTGATATCTGTGTTTAAAGTGGCGTGATATGTGTGTTTAAACTGGCGTGATATCTGTGTTTAAAGTGGCGTGATATTTGTGTTTAAAGTGACGTGATATCTGTGTTTAAACTGGCGTGATATCTGTGTTTAAAGTGGCGTGATATTTGTGTTTAAAGTGGCGTGATATCTGTGTTTAAAGTGGCGTGATATCTGTGTTTAAAGTGACGTGATATCTGTGTTTAAACTGGCGTGATATCTGTGTTTAAAGTGGCGTGCGTTTGATATCTGTGTTTAAAGTGACGTGATATCTGTGATAGTCTGTGTTTAAACTGGCGTGATATCTGTGTTTAAACTGGCGTGATATCTGTGTTTAAACTGGCGTGATATGCGTGTTAGTTCATCTCACGATCCCCACTCTGCACCCCCCTCACGACCCCCCCTCTCCTCCCTCACGACCCCTCCCTCCTCCTCCCTCACGACCCCCTCCTCCTCCTCCTCACGACCCCCTCCTCTCCTCCCTCACGACCCTCCTCTCCTCTCCTCACGACCTCCCTCACGACTCTCCTCCCTCACGACCCCCTCTCTCCCCTCACGACCCCCTCCTCCTCCCTCACGACCCCCTCCTCCTCTCCCTCACGACCTCCCCTCACGACCTCCCTCTCTCCTCACGACCCCCTCCCTCCTCCCTCACGACCCCTCTCCTCCCTCACGACCTCCCTCCTCTCCTCCTCACGACCCCTCTCCTCCCTCACGACCCCTCTCTCCTCCTCACGACCCCTCTCCTCCTCACGACCTCTCCTCCCTCACGACCCCCTCCTCCCTCACACCCCTCCCTCACGACCTCCCTCCTCTCTCTCCTCCCCACGACCCCCCTCCCTCACGACCTCCTCCCTCACGACCCCTCTCCTCCCTCCCTCACGACCCTCTCCCTCACGACCCCCTCCTCCTCACGACCTCACGACCCCCTCCTCCTCACGACCCCCTCCTCCCCTCACGACCCCTCCCCTCACGACCTCCTCCCTCACGACCTCACGACCTCCCCTTATTGTTGTTGATGTATTTGCGTTAAATTATGTTGTGTTGTTTTTAAGTTTGGAATTATTATTAAAACTGAATATTATAAAAGTAGTCGTAATAGTGATGTTGCTAGTAGTAATAATAGTAACAGGTGCTTCTATTAGACAACACAACAGTTTACAATTTCCACTAATCACACCACATAGTTACGGCGCCAATCTTGTGAACTATTTGAGAATCATCATCACTAATCACCACCAACACACTTACACTTGGCTCCACTGAACGATTAACTTATCATTATTTATCATCCAATCACTGATAATAATCTTTCTTCTTGGTCAATATTCTGACATCCACACATCGTTAGGTAAATTAAATATCCCTTTTTTATCTGAGTTACTTATTTTTACACTTTTATTAATATTTTATAATGATCGTTTATCATAATTATCTTCTGTTATTAAATGTTTATCCCGCGGTGTGTTACAGAGTGTGCGTGGCGGTGTGGGTGTTCACTCTGGCAGTCCTAGTTATCTGTACTCCTGTCCCTCAGGTGAGTCCTACTTACGGTTTTGTCATAGTGTGGTGAGCTTATACCGCATAGTGTGGTGAGCTTATACCGCATAGTGTGGTGAGCTTATATCGCATAGTGTGGTCAGCTTATACCGCATAGTGTGGTGAGCTTATACCGCATAGTGTGGTGAGCTTATACCGCATGGTGTGGTGAGCTTATACCGCACAGTGTGGTGAGCTTATACCGCATAGTGTGGTGAGCTTTCCGCATACTGTGGTGAGTTTACCGTATAGTGTTGTACATTTACCACACAAACTGACTAAAGTGATGCTGTGTAGTGTTATGAGTTTACCACATAGTGTTGGGTTTACCACATAGTGTTGGGTTTACCACATAGTGTTGGGTTTACCACATAGTGTTGGGTTTACCACATAGTGTTGGGTTTACCATTATTACCTCTAGACTTATTAACAATCATCATCATTTACAACGTTGTTAGAGATTAATGCAGAAACAACTAAGTAAAATATCCCGGCTAGCGAACAGTTAGTCGAGTGATCACTAACCACCTCCCCAGGGAATTTGTGTTTATTTATGTATCGTTCTTTGCCTTATTGTTTCGTTCTCTTAGTTATTGAGGTGATCTGTGGGCCAATTTATTTTACATGGCGATGGAGTGAGCCCTTTTAATTAATATATTCACTCAGACACCTACATAGGTACAGACTCACTCCTGATTTATGTACTGTACAGCCCTGTAAATGTATTCAACACATATTATATCATTGTGTCTAGATCAAATGTAAGTCTGTATATTTTCAGCCACCGGCTGCAACTCTATTAATAAACCGTTTATTATTATTATTATTATTACACATAATGGTTGCCCCTCGTGTAACGAGGATGGTCGGCCCTAGGGCCACCTAGGCGTGAATTTGTTTAAGGTATAGAAGCTGTCACCAACACAACCACACCCTGAGTTAACGAGTCAAGGAATAGTCCGAGAAGACCGGACAACTCGCCAACTGCACTGGCTAACCATCACCCTGGAACACGGTCCGCAAATCGATTAACATCCAGGTCCCCAACTACTGTTGGGTAGACAGAGGCAAATAGCGTAAAGAAACTTGCCCATAGTTTCACCCTGCCCGGGGATCGAACCCAGGTCCACTCGCTTGCGAGGCGAGCATGCTGACCATTACACCACAGGTCACCATGTACACACATATACACAGACGCACATACACACAGAGACGCACATACATACACATACACACAGAGACGCACATACATACATTCACATACACACAGACACACTTACACAGATGCACAAAAACGCACAGACGCACACATAGACACACCTACACACACACACACACACACACACACACACACACACACACACTTAAAGTATGATTGCCTACCTCCTTAAGATGTCATTCAGGAGAGTAAAGAGACAGACAGACAGACAGACAGACAGACAGACAAGTATAATCTCAGGTATGTGGTCGTTAGCATGACTCAGGTAATTGGTGTTATTGGCGGTGGATCTATAACAAAACCCAATTAAAAACACCTATAATTAGCATGACGTCGCATAGTCTATCGACAACTGATAGATAATTAAAAAGACTTAGTAATTTAGCTATTGGTAATTAAAAGTCAATTAAAATGGCTTGAATCTTTGTCTATCAGTAATTTCAAAGCTATCCCCTGTAATTTGTCTTTAATGGATAGCTAATTAAAGGGGCTCTTACCTGTACTCTACCTGTGAATGACACTTAATTAAAATGGTGGCCGTGTGTTGGTAATTAAAAGGTCTTGGTGTAGCTGGGATGAGGAGGAGGCCATTAGCTTGTTGTTAGTGAGGGTTATTGTGAACCATCGTTGTCCTCTAATTGGATAATGAGAGACTTGTTACGGTCGTTAACTACCTTTGACCTCCCCCTGTGTATGTATGTATGTATGTATTTTCGTGGGTGTGTGTGTGTAAGTGCGCACGTGTATGTATGTATGCGTATGTATAAGCCAGGTAGAGCCTCAGACTATCTTGTTAATTAAATGTGACCTTTGACCCCTGGTTGACTCACACCTGTCGCCTGGAGGTCATTAAACATCAGTTATCTCCTTTATTGGTTTAGCAGCCGTAGGAGAGACGGTCACCTGTCTATAGTGGCCGTAGGAGAGACGGTCACCTGTCTATAGTGGCCGTAGGAGAGACGGTCACCTGTCTATAGTGGCCGTAGTAGGGACGGTCACCTGTCTATAGTGGCCGTAGGAGAGACGGTCACCTGTCTATAGTGGCCGTAGGAGAGACGGTCACCTGTCTATAGTGGCCGTAGGAGAGACGGTCCCGTAGTAGTAGGACGAGTGGCCGTGTAGGGACGCCTGTCTATAGTGGCCGTAGTAGGGACGGTCACCTGCCGTAGTGGGACGGTCAGATAGGTCACCTGTCTATAGTGGCCGTAGTAGGGACGGTCACCTGTCTATAGTGGCCGTAGTAGGGACGGTCACCTGTCTATAGTGGCCGTAGGAGAGACGGTCACCTGTCTATAGTGGCCGTAGGAGAGACGGTCACCTGTCTATAGTGGCCGTAGTAGGGACGGTCACCTGTCTATAGTGGCCGTAGTAGGACGGTCACCTGTCTATAGTGGCCGTAGTAGGGACGGTCACCTGGATGAGAGAGACAGGTGTTATGAAGGCTAATAAGGTTAAGCTCAGGTATATAAACGGTCCTCAGCGTCTCAGCGTGTGTATACATATATGAATATTTGCGTATGTTTAAGTCAACGTACTCAAGGGGTTAAGAGGTTAAAATCTTACTCAAGAGGTTAATTTGTTACTCAAAGAGGTTAGGTCATCGTACTCAAGGGTTTAAGAGGTTAAAATCTTACTCAAGAGGTTAATTTGTTACTCAAAGAGGTTAGGTCATCGTACTCAAGGGGTTAAGAGGTTAAAATCTTACTCAAGAGGTTAATTTGTTACTCAAAGAGGTTAGGTCATCGTACTCAAGGGGTTAAGAGGTTAAAATCTTACTCAAGAGGTTAATTTGTTACTCAAAGAGGTTAGGTCATCGTACTCAAGGGGTTAAGAGGTTAAAATCTTACTCAAGAGGTTAATTTGTTACTCAAAGAGGTTAGGTCATCGTACTCAAGGGGTTAAGAGGTTAAAATCTTACTCAAGAGGTTAATTTGTTACTCAAAGAGGTTAGGTCATCGTACTCAAGGGGTTAAGAGGTTAAAATCTTACTCAAGAGGTTAATTTGTTACTCAAAGAGGTTAGGTCATCGTACTCAAGGGGTTAAGAGGTTAAAATCTTACTCAAGAGGTTAATTTGTTACTCAAAGAGGTTAGGTCATCGTACTCAAGGGGTTAAGAGGTTAAGTTACTCGTCATCTCAAGGGGTTAAGAGGTTAAAATCTTACTCAAGAGGTTAATTTGTTACTCAAAGAGGTTAGGTCATCGTACTCAAGGGTTAAGAGGTTAAAATCTTACTCAAGAGGTTAATTTGTTACTCAAAGAGGTTAGGTCATCGTACTCAAGGGGTTAAGAGGTTAAAATCTTACTCAAGAGGTTAATTTGTTACTCAAAGAGGTTAGGTCATCGTACTCAAGGGGTTAATCTACTGTACTCAAGGAGATTAAGTCATCGTTCTCCGAGGCTTAAACTTTCCTTGCCCGCCAGGATAGTGGTAAGGATAGGGACTGAGAATAGGAATCCATTATACTCGCTGCAGGATAGAAGGATATGTCGAATAGGATAGATTTTGAATAGCTGAAAGGGAGTCATTATTGGTGTGGTGTGTAGAGAGAGAGAGAGAGAGAGAGAGAGAGAGAGAGAGAGAGAGAGAGAGAGAGAGAGAGAGAGAGAGAGAGAGAGAGAGAGGTAACAGTGTACATAGACATATAAAAGAGAGAGAGAGAGAGAGAGAGAGAGAGAGAGAGAGAGCCAGTCGACCACACCCACACCACTCAACTAGCTGAATATTGAATGATGCCTAATTAAATATGCAGGATTCTTTATTGGCCAAAATACAAGACCTGGCAACCCGTTTTCTGCTTTGATTACAAATGACTTTCTCCTCGAAGGATCATAATCTGCATACGATTACCTTGATTACTTTTGAACAGAGGCGAGAGATAGATAGAGTTTGAAATTGAACCCCAGAGCCATATAGAGGAAAAAACCCGATTAATAACACGAATTTTAATATGTAAATAAGGTTGGATTTAGTGAGTAGTGGACAGGCTTCACTCTCCAGTCATGAAGGGAATCCAGTCTTCAAGTCAGTCATTAGTTCCTTTACCTCTGACCTCTGTTGGCTGGCTGGCTGGCTGGGGAGGTGTGTGACCTGATGTGACCTCTGTTGATAAGTTCAAAATGGCCTTTGATCAGGATCACTCTACGGTGCACCTTGATCAATTAACTTTTGTTGGTATTGATCGTCTGTTCGATCGTCCCCGTGTCTTTCTGTTCGTTCATATGTCTGTTTATTCGTCCGCATGACTGTCTATTCGTCTGTCTATCTGTTCGTCTGCATGTCTGTTTGATCGTTGTCTGTCTGTCTCTTCGTCCACATGTCTCGCTCGTCCACTTGTCTGTCTATTCGTCTGTCTATTCGTCTGTCTGATTGATCATTCAAGTGTCCGTCTATTCGTATGTTTCCATGTCTGTCGTTCGTGTCTGCTCGTCCGTTTAATTTTCTGTCATGTTTGGTCAATATTGTTCTTATAAATCTGTCTCGCTTTCTCTTAACTTTCTGTCTCTCTCTTTTCCCTTAACTTTCTGTCTCTCTCTTCCACCTAATTTTCTGTCTTTCTCTTTCCCTTAACTTTCTGTCTCTCTCTTTCCCCTTAACTTTCTCTCTTTCTCTTCCCCTAACTTTCAATGTCTATCTTTCCCCAACTTTCTCTGAATTGATTGAAGTAAATAAAACAAGAAAAAAGTTAAGTCATCATCCTCAGTGGGTTATTATACTCAAGGGGATAAGTCATTATGCTAAAGGGGTTAAGGCATTATACTCAAGGGGTTAAGTCATTATACTCAAGGGGTTAAGACATTATACTCAAGGGGTTAAGGCATTATACTCAAGGGGCTTAGGCATTATACCCAAGGGGTTAAGTCATTATACTCAAGGGGTTAAGGCATTATACCCAAGGGGTTAAGTCATTATTCTCAAGGGGTTAATTTTTCATATTCACTGGGTTATCGTACTCAAGGGGTTAAGTTATAATACTCAAATAAATTAAGCAATTGTCCTTAATGGATGATCATGCTCGAGGAATTAAGTCATTATACTCACTGGTTTGAGTCATCGTCGTCAGTGGATTATCGTAATAAAGGGATTAAATCATCGTCCTCAAGTGGTTAAAATCATCGCACTCTCAAGTCGTCGTGTTTAAGGGTTAAATCATCGCACTTAAAGGGTTAAATCATCGCACTTAAAGGGTTAAATCATCGCACTTAAAGGGTTAAATCATCGCACTTAAAGGGTTAAATCAAAATATTCAAAGGGGTTAAGGGATTAAAATCTTTTATATCAAGGGAGTTTAAAGCACTCCACTAGCCAACTCCCACTCTCGGTCTATACAATATACCGGAATAGACTGACACCCACGTAATTGTGTTCACAGCGGGATACCGACGACGCACCTCTCCACACGTGTCCCTCAGTTGAAGTGAAATGAAAAGGCTTGCGTGTGTATAGCGGCAGCGGGGGAACACAACCACCACGATGATGATGAAAACGACGGCGGGTCACTCAACCAGCCCTAATTCATTTATAAACTCCATAAAAGTTTATTGGCTGCCCCTGGGTCAAGGTCATCTAGGGGTCGAGGTCATTCAGGGTCATTTAGGGTCTCTCTCACACACCCAGTGGCACCTATCGTATAATTTTCACACGTGGAAATCATTGTTAGGTGTGATGATTTGTTCGTGTGTGTGTGTGTGTGTGTGTGTGTGTGTGTGTGTGTGTGTGTGTGTGTGTGTGTGTGTGTGTGTGTGTGTGTGTGTGTGTGTGTGTGTGTGTGTGTGTGTGTGTGTGTGTGTGTGTGTGTGTGTGTGTGTGTGTGTGTGTGTGTGTGTGTGTGTGTGTGGGTGTGGTGTGTGTGTGGGTGTGTGTGTGTGTGTGTAAATTGTTATCTTCTTTTTTCTGTTGTATTTCGTTTCTTCTTCCTCTCCATTTCCTATTGTTCTTCTCTTCCGTTTCCTGTTGTTCTCATCCATCTCTGTTATTGCTCTTCCACTAAGCGTCTGGACCATCACACACCGAGACCTCTCATTAAACACATTATCTTATTTTCTTCTTCAGGAGGAAGGTGACGGAAGCAGCAGTGGTGGGCTGAGGCAGGAACAGTGCCCACTGGGAGAGGAGGTGGAGATGCTGGAGGGCGGCAGTGGGCGGCGGGTGGTGGTGGCGCCGGTGGTGGGCGGTTTAGGGGCGGCAGCTGCTAGGACCTCCTGCCACACTCACCAAGCCAAGCCCCTCTTCCTCAACACCCAGCAGGACGCCGACATCCTATACAAACTCCTTAAAGGTAGAGTCTACGGCGCTTGGGTTCACCTCCTACACAGTACGTGGGTCACATTTCAATTGACTTCCTTTATAAATTACTCAGATAAAAGTCGAACGTTTTGTCTGACATCCTACACAGGTAATTTTTTTTATCCTTTATAGAATCCTTACAGGAGGAAGTTTTTTTTGACTGACAGTCATCGTAGTTAATATAGTATCCTTCATAGAATTCCTAGAGATAGGTTGAGAGTCGTAGTTAACATCCTTCGGAGATAATAGTAATATATCCTTCATCGAATCCTTAAAGGAGAGTTGAGGATTTCATTTGATATCCTACATAGCTAAGACGACCAAATTAATACCTATCCTTCGTGGACTCCCTAAGGAAAGTCGAGGATTTCATGACATTTTACACAATTAAAAATACGTCATCATCATCTGTCCTTCATCGACTTCTCAAACATGAAGTCGACGATATATACCCCCCCCCCCCACGCCAGGCCAGGCCAGGCCAGGTCGATCCCTCTCTCATGTGGGAACCACTGTAGACTTTTGTGTTAAAATTTATTTCCTAATTACTTTCGGGATTTTCTCTGTAATTCAGCTTCATTTCATAATGCATAAGTAGCACATTGTGTCCTCCCTCGCACTCTTCAATGACCTGGTCGCAGTGGAGGCAGATACAGTCGCTAGATAAGGTAGAGTCAGTTAAGGTAGAGTCTCCATTAAGGTAGTCTCAGTTAGGTTTTGTCTCATAACTGGTGTTAAGTGAATGTGTCTAGTTAAGGTAGAGTCTCCATTAAGGTAGAGTCAGTTAAGGTAGAGTCTAAGGTAGTCTCAGTTAGGTTTTGTCCCATAACTGGTGTTAAGTGAATGTGTCTAGTTAAGGTAGAGTCTCCATTAAGGTAGTCTCAGTTAGGTTTTGTCTCATAACTGGTGTTAAGTGAATGTGTCTAGTTAAGGTAGAGTCTCCATTGGTAGAGTCAGTTAGGTAGAGTCTAAGGTAGTCTCAGTTAGGTTTTGTCTCATAACTGGTGTTACGTGAATGTGTCTAGTTAAGGTAGAGTCTCCATTAAGGTAGTCTCAGTTAGGTTTTTGTCTCATAACTGGTGTTAAGTGAATGTGTCTAGTTAAGGTAGAGTCTCCATTGATGTAGAGTCAGTTAAGGTAGAGTCTCCATAAGGTAGTCTCAGTTAGGTTTTGTCTCATAACTGGTGTTACGTGAATGTGTCTAGTTAAGGTAGAGTCTCCATTAAGGTAGTCTCAGTTAGGTTTTGTCTCATAACTGGTGTTACGTGAATGTGTCTAGTTAAGGTAGAGTCTCCATTAAGGTAGAGTCAGTTAAGGTAGAGTCTCCATTAAGGTAGTCTCAGTTAGGTTTTGTCTCATAACTGGTGTTACGTGAATGTGTCTAGTTAAGGAGAGTCTCCATTAAGGTAGTCTCAGTTAGGTTTTGTCTCATAACTGGTGTTACGTGAATGTGTCTAGTTAAGGTAGAGTCTCCATAGGTAGTCTCAGTTAGGTTTTGTCTCATAACTGGTGTTACGTGAATGTGTCTAGTTAAGGTAGAGTCTCCATTAAGGTAGAGTCAGTTAAGTAGAGTCTCCATTAAGGTAGTCTCAGTTAGGTTTTGTCTCATAACTGGTGTTACGTGAATGTGTCTAGTTAAGGTAGAGTCTCCATTAAGGTAGTCTCAGTTAGGTTTTGTCTCATAACTGTGTTACGTGAATGTGTCTAGTTAAGGTAGAGTCTCCATATAAGGTAGAGTCAGTTAAGGTAGAGTCTCCATAAGGTAGTCTCAGTTAGGTTTTGTCTCATAACTGGTGTTACGTGAATGTGTCTAGTTAAAGAGTCTCCATTAAGGTAGTCTCAGTTAGGTTTTGCCCCTAACTGGTGTTACGTGAATGTGTCTAGTTAAGGTAGAGTCTCCATTAAGGTAGTCTCAGTTAGTTTTGTCTCATAACTGGTGTTATGAATGTGTCTAGTTAAGTAGAGTCTCCATTAAGGTAGTCTCAGTTAGGTTTTGTCTCATAACTGGTGTTAAGTGAATGTGTCTAGTTAAGGTAGAGTCTCCATTAAGGTAGTCTCAGTTAGGTTTTTGTCTCATAACTGGTGTTACGTGAATGTGTCTAGTTAAGGTAGAGTCTCCATTAAGGTAGTCTCAGTTAGGTTTTGTCTCATAACTGGTGTTAAGTGAATGTGTCTAGTTAAGGTAGAGTCTCCATTAAGGTAGTCTCAGTTAGGTTTTGTCTCATAACTGGTGTTAAGTGAATGTGTCTAGTTAAGGTAGAGTCTCCATTAAGGTAGTCTCAGTTAGGTTTTGTCCCATAACTGGTGTTAAGTGAATGTGTCTAGTTAAGGTAGAGTCTTGATGTAATTTTGCTGGTATTTTTGGGACCGTTTATTATTATTATTATTGTTGTTGTTGTTGTTGTTGTTATCAATACCATAACTATAGTGACCATCGGTAATCAAACCGCCTTTACTTGAAGGTAAGAGGAATGTAACCATTAAAAACCTTCCCTCTACTGAAAGACACAATTTAAAAATCAGTTTTAATTCTGCCAAAGATATTATTACAGGTGGAAGAAAAAACCTCATGATTTATGGGGGTAAAAAGCAGGTGTACCTTGAGAGGTTATCATTATGTGTGGCTTTTGATGCCAGATTAAAAGTTCACTAATGATTAATGTTCTTTGGTAAATCTTGTTGGTCTAAGAGGGTGGTGCAAGTAGTGTTTGTGATGGTGATAATAATATTAATACAAGCAAACACACATGGACACACGCACATACTCACATGCGCGCACACACACACACACACATACTCACGTACCATCATGCACACACACATGGAAACTTCCTCTTTCTGCTTATCTGAAAACGAATTTGAAATGAAAAATGATTTTCTATTTATGGAAATGTTGATCCAATAAGAGATGATGACACAGAGAGAGAGAGAGAGAGAGAGAGAGAGAGAGAGAGAGAGGGGGGGGTCTTAACATGGCATAACCAGTTTTGCTTGGACCTGTGGTAGGAGGAGAAGGTAGAGACCGGGTATAGGAGGGAGAGCCGTCCATGAGGGGGGTCAGGGAGGTAGAGAGAGGGGAAGGGGGTCAGGGAGGTAGAGAGAGGAGGGGGGGTCAGGGAGGTAGAGAGAGGGGAAGGAGAAGAAGAAGGTTGCGTCATGGATCATAAACAATCATAGTTATTATCGTAATTACAGTCGTTAGGGACCAGTTTGTGCGTGTGTGGGGGGCAGTTCTCTCTTAGCACGACGTCATGTTGGTGGGTATTACCAGTATTTATGTCGCGGCTACCGTGTTCCGCACTCCTGGGACCTACTGGTTATCCCAGGACGAACAACAGCATCTCGGGGTCTTATTTTCTTCCACCCAGGACGAACAACGGTATTTTAGGTCTTATTTTTTGTCTCTGCAAGTCTTAGATTTCCTTGTCATTGAGAGAGAGAGAGGAGAGAGAGAGCCAGACTAGCATAACTTAACCCAACCCAACCCAACCCAACCCAACCCAATCCAACCCAATTTAACCTAACCCGAGCCCTGAGCACATGGACCCTACACACTTGGTCATTACTTCAAGACGGCTCGTGGTGTGGTGGTATAAGGTAACGCTCCACCATACACTCATGACTCAGATTAAAAAAAAAAAAACTCTGCCCATCTTTGGTTTTTCTTTGTGCTTCTACTGTTTATTGGCTTCTATTTTTCTTCTTTGATTTCTTTTTCCTATTTTCTTCGTTTTGTTGTTGTTATTGTCGATATTTTTATCGTTGTGTCATTATCGTTATTGTCACTGTCATTATCGTTATCATTGTCGTTGTTGTTTGTCACTGTCACTCGTCATCATCGTCCTCGTCACTATCCTCATCATCATCGTCACTATCATCATCCTCGTCTTCCTCAATGTACAATGTTGTGATCAGACGCCCCAGCCTTAGGTAACACTGAGCCTCTAGGTGTGTGTGTGTGGGTGTGAGAGAACAGGTAAGGCTAGGTAGGCTACTCATAACCTTTACCTCCACCACCCAGAGACTTAAAAAGACTCCTACGATTAATTTTCCTCTTAACTGAACATGTAAGAATGCACCTCACTGATTGCCACTCTCCTGTCTATCCTCAACTCACCCAATTAGAGGCAGAGAAATAACACAAGCGATCATTTTTAAAAATCAGTCAACTTTCAACTCATTCATCAGAAACAACAGGATAAACTTATCAAGAGCTCTTAAGTGGGATATTATCAGTGGAATAATAGCGTTTACGTGTTTACATTTGGCTTCAGAATGTATTCAGCTCTACCAGTGTTGAGGGTCAAGGTGGGTAAAACAAGTGACAGTCGAGGAGTGCCATCTGGAGGCGAGAGAGAGATACTTTACCTGATAACCTCGGTCCAGAACAAGTGACTGTCGATGAGACGCATTTTTTGTAGTGTTTTGTTTTTTAATTATTTATGATTGTCGTTTATTATTATTATTATTATTATTATTATTATTATTATTATCATTATTATTATTATTATTATTATTGCTGTTATCATTGTTATTGGTATTATTATTATTACTACAACTTTCAATTTCACTATCATCCTCTTTATCAGTAACCTTGTACAAACTGTTAATTATGACTTCAGAAATAAACTTTGCATTTTAAGCGTCAAGGTGCGATAATAATGAATAAAAAATGACATATTTAGCTCGGCGACACGCGCTACCCCTCGCTATGTGCCCTGGACGGCTTGTAGAGAGAGAGAGAGAGAGGTGCCCTGGACGGCTTGTAGAGAGAGAGAGAGAGAGGTGCCCTGGACGGCTTGTAGAGATCTGGACGGCTTGTAAGTTAAGTCTCGTAATTATGGTGGAGGCTGAGCTGTGTATGTACGTGCTTGTCCTTGGCGAGAATACCTCGTGTGTCCCCGGTACTGTATGACCGACCCTGTGAGGTCAGGCACCATATGACCGACCCTGTGGAGTCCCGGTGCATATGACCCTGTGAGTCCCCGGTAC